CGGGGGGGAACCATATGGTTTTCCCCCCGACGAGCTTGGCCATGCCCCCAACGTCAGCAACATCGCACTTCCGGTGATGTCAGGGGGTCTGGCATATGCAAATAAGTTATTCTAATAAATTATGCTAATGAGCCCCTGCACCTCTTTTTCTACGAAATGACCCCTGATTCTACCCCACTGAAGTCCCTCCTCTCCAGGTATTTCCCCGCCCAGATCTGGCGACCCCAGGTGACTGCCGTCAAGACTGAAGAGGGAGGCGGGCCAGCAGGAGGCCACTAACTGCTCACATCAGACCCCTCCGAGTGTCGGCTCTTTTGCAGTCTTTGACTGGAGAGGCAATATTGACATTCTGCAGTCTTCTCGCCACTAAGCCTTCCCAACATATTCTCCGCAATGACATCGCGGCCACGAAGCACAAAAGCCCCGCTTCACTCCCTCCCACCAAACCCAGTGAAACAAGAGCTAATTGAATCCGAGCCGGGGCCTTTCTCTGCAGTTATTATAGGCTTCACGGGCGGCCTTCCTACCCGCGAGAGCCCATGAAGATGTTTCTTGAGCAGCGGCTATTCATGAGAACACATTCATATTGCATGAGAAGGGAGCACCGGCTGCATAAGCGGAACGCGCAAGGTTGGACGCGTACGCTTCCAGGGCATGTTTTAATGGCTCCATGGTAGGAGCCCAAGGACGGCTCAGAATTTTGGCAGCCGTGAGCAACAGCTCCTTCCTCTTAAGTTACAAGCCTGATTTCTAAACAGTTGGCATGATGAGATAAGTTAAAGGTAAAGGTTCCCTTGCTCGAAAGCCAGTCGAATCAGACTCTAGGGTTGCGGTGCTCATCTCCGTTTCAAAGCCGAAGAGCCAGCGCTGTCCGAAGATGTTTCCGTGGTCATGTGGCCGGCATGACTAAACACCAAGGCGCACAGAACGCTGTTAGCTTCCCACCGGAGTGGTACCTATTTATCTACTTGCAATTTCTTGCTTTCGAACCGCTAGGTTGGCAGCTGGAACTAGAGACAGGAGCTCACTCCGTCATGCGGCACCCGGGTCTCGAACTGCTGAACTACTGACCTTCCACAGCCTGCAGTTCAGCGTCTTAACCACTTGAGCCACCGCAGCTCCTCTGAGATAAGTTGCCCCACCTTATAACCCAGGTCACCAAGCCTGGACCTTTTGCGATTTCTGACTTTGGTCCTGTCGTCTGCTCTTTCCTTCACTTGTTTTGCCAAGCAGGACATGAGGTTGTCGGATAGGGATGCCAGATCTCCCCCCCCCCAGGTGGAGACAGGGGTCCCCCACTGACAGGCCCCATCTCCCCACTGCCAATCAGCTGGCTGGGGGGGGAGTCTTTCCCAGAAAAAGAGGGAGATCCATCCGCCGTGCAGCAATGTGTCTACGTCACTGCCAATGTTCCCTCTAAGCTGTGGGGCATTGTGAGTGAGAGTTCTACTTTGTGAGCCGGAGGAGCTGCTAGCGTTGGCACTGTGGGCGGGCCTACATTTAGCTATCTCATAGATTAGTTTTTTGGAGGATTATTACTATAATCTCATAAAAATCTCAGAATGAATTCTTCCTATTTGTGCTCAGTATTCAGGTTTGTCCTAATTTTCTAAGGAGACACACCTACAAATTGCATGCATCTGCCACTGGGATTTGGCTCATGAAAGTTTATTTATTTAGGATATTTTTATGTTAGCTGTTGTAGATTTCCCGGGTTGTATGGCTGTGGTCTTGACATTGTAGGACCTGACGTTTTGCCAGTAGCTGTGACTGGCATCCTCAGAGGTGTAACACAGAAAGATGGAGGACTCTCTGTGTCAAGGTGAGAAGGAAAATGGTAGGCAGATAATTTATATCTACTCAGGAAGGTGGGGTAGGGCGGAGTCATTATCTTGTAGGAGTTCCCCTCTCTGTGAACATGCTAATGGAGGAGCTTTCCTGAGGAGGTTCTTTTGTATATGGATTGCTTCCTGAGGAGGTTTCCTGTTTCCTTTTTTCTTCTTCTGGTTTCCTGTTTCCTGAGGAGGTTCTTTAGGATGTGGATTGGCTGTTGAAATTCTAATCTTATCTGTAGTGCTATTGTCAGATGTAGAGTTTTTTGTGTTTTTCAGGGCCTTCCTGAGTAGATATAAATCACCTGCCTACCATTTTTCTTCTCACCTTGACACAGAGAGTACTCCATCTTTCTGTGTTATACCTCTGAGGATGCCAGTCACAGCTACTGGTGAAACGTCAGGTCCTACAATGCCAAGACCACGGCCACACAACCCAGAAAATCTACAACAGCTAATGAACTCCAGC